GGCTGCTGGCTGATCGGTCTGTTCCCTACTTCTTTCCTCACGGGGTTGGTGTGTTTCTACCTGGGATGTACTGAACACGTCCTTGATGTCTTAGAAGTCAGGCTTATCCCAAGGTACCTCCTCTGGTGCCTCAGTTAACCTGAATCAAAACCTAGAAGCTGAGTAGTTTAATAGCGTGTGGCTATAACCTCTGACCTGACACAATTCTAGGAAACCACTGTAAGGGATACTTAGGGACACAAAAATCATTTCAATGGTGTCAGGAATAAACGCCTCATTAAAACTTTTGGTACATTTAGTTAATTACATTCTTCTTTCTTTTGCTAAATTTATATGAAAATATACCAACTTAATTACTGCAATTTGGTTTCAGATAACGGTATCTAACTAGATAAACACTGGGGCATAAACGAATCATGGATAATGACAGTCTCTAATGGGGTCCAAGTAACAGACACTGAGAATCCCAATGTGCCAACAGCCACGTGTGCGGGCCGCTTTGGAAGGAGATCCTCAGCCCATCGAGCCTTCAGTAAATTGCAGCCCCGGCCAACATCCTGACTGCAACTCCTGAGAATGGTGAGCCAGCTCCGACCCATTCAGCTAAGGCTCTCCCCAATTCCTGATCACAGGAATTTGAGATAATAAATGTTGTTTTACGCCGCTAAGTTTTAGATAATTTGTTAATAGTAGGCGTCCAGTAAATAGCTACTGCATGAATGAATGAATGAATGAATGAATAAGTGCATGAATGAATGCATAAGAGAATGAATGAATGAATGAGTCAGGTAGCTTGCCATGCCCCATAACCAGTTAGAAACGAGGCACGAAGATTTGCTAGGGTCACCCTTCCTACTGCACCCCAGTCAGATCCCCCCAGTGTCACTCAGAAATCCAGCCACCTTTGCCCCCACAGACAGGTGCCCGGTCCCTTCCAAAAGCACTGAAGGGACGCTGGGAAGTGCGCCTCTGCCAGGGCTGGGGCTCTCGAAGGCCAGGGTGGGCCACCTACCCAAGGGCAAAGACATCCGAGTACTTGGAGAAGGGGAGCTTGTCCTCTTCTGTGTCGGGGGACAGCTGGCGGATGATCTCCGGCGCCAGGTGGCACAGCCAGCCATTCTGGATGCGTAGCTTGTCCTCTCTCCTGGTGAAGAGAAGCACAGCATGAGTCCCGGGTCACAGCCCCCGGGGTGGATCAGCCCCCCAGCACTGACCCCGAGTCCCCGGACCATCTCTGCTGGCTTTCTCGCATCTTGTCCTTGAGGCTGAGACCCAGGGGGAGGTGCAGGGAAGGCTGGTCTGGAGAGAGACACGCAACGCCCACATCATCCCGGGGTCCCTTCGCCTCTGAGGCAGCCCCTCCCATACATACCGCCGATGCCCCTCACTCCTGGTAGCCCTGCCCTGTACAGAAGCGTTGCTCCCGCGGGACACCCGTGTGAGCGTGCACACGCCTCTCACATCATCGTAAACCCCCAGCACAACTCATCCTAGTCCGTTCTGTCTTCTTTACTTTGCACGAGAAGGTGAGGCTCAGAAGTGTGAGTGTCTTGTCCAAGGCTGCCCCACCACCAGGTGCCAGCTGGCCCCAGCGCGGGGGCTTCTTGCCCTGCCTGGCACGGCACCCCCACCCCCGTCTCCATCCCCTGGTCACCTCTGCGTGAAACAGGAGGGATGAGCGGCCCCTTGTTCAGCCTCAGCTGGGAACATGGGCGTCAGGCGACCCACGTTTCCCCACCCTGTGCACACCCGTGAGTGACTGCGAAGGCGTCGTGAACTCTGACGCGGGGGTTACCAAGGAATCTGAGTGGGCGAATTCACAAAGATGGAATCTGTGACCGATGAGGATCGGCTGTATTTACGGGGCACCTACGACGACACCCAGGCTCTGTTCTCGCGCCAGGAGCGTGGCCGTGAACAAGGCCAGCAGGGACCGGGCCCTCCCGGAGCCTGGCATCTGGTAGGGGAAGGCGGTGACAGATGAATTAAACAGGAAAAGTGCAGAGGGTCATAGCATCATACAAAAAAAATAAAATAAAAATAAAAAGGGAAGGTGTCCAAGTTAAGAGGGAGCTTACTCTAGATAAAATGGCCCTCTAGACTATTATTTACTACAAATGGGGTTTTTCACTCGTATATTTTAATAGGTTACTTTTTAACATGACCTTAAGTGGAAACGAGCGCTTTTTAATTACACATTAAAATTAATATGGGAAAGGTTTGTTCATGTTTTCCCTGAAGTCATCTTGCTGACCGCGCTGGGGGAGGGGAGATCCCAAGGAGGGAGGCTCCAGGAGTATGGAGCTGTGGCTTTGGTCTGGATCATTCTTTGGGCCGGGGCTGTTCTGCGCATTGTAGGGTGTTTAGCAGCATCCCTGGCCTCTGCCCACCAGATGCCAGTAACACCTCCTCTCCCCTGTTGTGACGACTAAAAATGTCTCCAGACATCACAAATGTCCCTGGGGGGTGGGAGAGCCTAGGTTGAGAATCGCTGTTCAGATTTAAACATAAAGGCCCAAATTTTAGTTTTTCACCATTAGTGGCATGGGACTTGCTCCTGTGCCCTACACAGCAGATTGGATAGAACTCGCCCACATTGTCTGCTAAAAAAATATAGGTCTCGAATCCATCAGCAAGCCCTGGAGTCGGCAGGCCAGTGGGGACACCTACAGGGCTTGAAGGACCCATCTGCCGCTTACTAGCTCTGTGGCCTTGAGCAGGCCCGAGTCTCTATTTTCCCACCTGCAAAATGGGTACATAACTTTCACACATGTTGCAGCGCTGTGTCAGCTGCCAGGGCCGCACAGTTAGTGGGCGTAATTATTACCTGTGGATATATATATTTTTTAATCTTGAGGACTCGGAAATAAAGTTGAGAGAAGAGCCCAAAGTAAAAATACCATCCAAGAAAGAGGAGCTGTGGCGACGGCAACGGGGAGTGTGCCGGTCCCCAGGCAGCAAACCTTGAAATAAGCGCTGCTGGGGAGACCGAGGGAAGAAAGAACCCTGCCGGGCCCAGCCCTCCCGGCTTCTGGGTTCTGACTCGAGGTCTCTCTCCACCGATCTACTTAGGGATCTATTGGATCATTTTCTGCCTATTTTCTAATCTTAGATGCTGTAGATGGGTTTGGAGGCTGCGGTGAATTTGGGGCAGCGGAGTAAACTCTGACAAAGAAATGTAAGCTTCTGTGCGTTTCTGCGTCACACAGAAATCGCCAGAGCAGGTTTCACCCAATTTCTGACGGGGGGACTTAGACTCAAGGTATGACGGGGCGTGGACAAAATTCGAATTCACTTTGGGGTGTAACGCAGAGATCAGTTACCCTCAAAGCAGCTGAAACTGAAGTAGGAGAGAAGCCGTGAGGCTGCCCTTCGTTACACGGGGCGTGATAGAAAAGACACGCAGGGTTTGAAGGGAGCGCACGTGTGTGTGTGTGTGTGTGTGTGTGTGTGTGTGTGTGTGTGTGAGTGTGCGTGTGCACGCCTGTACGCACACACACATTCCAAATTAAAAGTTGCAAAGGGGCGGGCCTTCTGATTTATGGGTTGTTTATTTGGCATCAAGCTGTTTTTCACTTGGTCAACTCGCTCCAGGGCGAGAGGCGCCTGAGAGTTAATTACTTAACGGCGGTTAATGATTCTCCGGTGCGCTATTGAGGAGGTGTATGCAAATTAATACTAATTACAACTCAGCAGCAGCTACTATTTGTGGAGTTTCCTGCGCCCCGGGCGCTGCGCTGGATGCGCTGCGGGATTTTATCCGTGGAGGGACCCTGGAGGCGGGCGCAGCCCCATCCATCACTTCTCTTGTCCACAAGGAAACCGAAGCTCAGAAAAGTTCCGAGACTTGAGTGAAGCCGCAGTTAATAAGTGACTGAGGCAAGCTGTGCCCCAGGTGGGTCTGACTTTAAACCCCTTGCTCTTAACGACACTCTTGGCCCACTAAAATGAATGGATTCATAAGAAAACTTTGAGTAAGGCTGCTGGGTGATTCTCACTTCTGGGTGAGTGCTTGGGGTAAGGGAAGGGTCCTCCAGTGTAACTCAAGGGCAGGGGCTTTGCAGGATTTGAAGGTGCCATTTGCAGGTCAGGCCCCCGGAGCCTCTGGGCATGACCTGGGCTTCGGCAATGCATCCTCACCCAGCTGCTGAGCTGCTCAGCGAGGTGACCTCAAGGCCAACACCACGTCTAGGTCTCTAAGGCCATTTGGGATGACTCCCCCATCCCCGATAGCCATCTATCAAGAACGCCTCTGAGCCCTTCCACCACCTCTCACCTGCCAGCCTGCAACACCCCCGAAATGCTGAAGAGCCCAAAGTCTGTGATCACCACTTTGCCGTTGTCGTAGAAGACGTTCTTGGACTTGAGGTCCTTGTGCAGGATTCCCTTGGCGTGGAGGTAGCCCATGCCCTGCAAGGAACCAGGAGGCAGGGGGTTGTCGGGAGAACCTGAGCGCTCGCTGCCATCCTGGCTTGGCTTCTTGGTTCACACGTCTCGCTTTCCCATGGGACCACACTGACCGTTGTAGAGCCGGGGCCCAAATGCAACAGTGTACAGGTGGGGTGGGAAAAGGCCTGCAAGCGGGGAACAGGCAGGGTCCCCAGGACATAAATCTGCCACCACCCTCAGACCACTGCACAACCATCCCACCTAGCTCCTCTGCTTCCTAAGTTAGAAACGAAGATCTCTCAGGAAGGGAAAGGGTGGGGACAGGCCTGAGATGAGGTCCCCAGAGAAAGGAATTCCATGAACTGTCTTCTCCCACTTCCTCTTTGAAAAAAAACTCCTTCGCAGGAGACCTGCTCCTTATGTCTACTCAACCCATGCCCCTGCCCAAGGTACCACGTTCCTAAAGAGATGCACCAGGACACGATCATCAAGAGCTTGGAAAAGATCCTATCGGAGGTCTAGCTGAGGGTGGATGTCTGGATTTTTGTTTGCCTTTATGAGAAGTTACATTTTTTATTGCTTCTCACACCTCAGTCCTGACATTTTCAATGTAAATAAAAAGACCACATACAACTGACTAATGAGGCACCTGCCAGAAAATACAGGATGTTCCTGCTGATTTTAATCCCAAATGACACCCAACAATTTGATGTTTCCCCAGCAGCTAGAGAGAGAGATGGGTAACACACCTGGGAATTCAAGGATTTGAGGGGTAAAGGATCCTAACAACGAGAATGTTCCCCTCTCTGGTCCCTGCACATGTCCAATTATCATGATGATGAGGCACTAGATAGAAACCAAACACTGATAGACCATCCCTAATGGTTGTATCTCAGCAAAATTCTCACATACACATGGCCTGATATTTTTCAAGTCAAGTCTAGTCTGTTTTCTTTTAAGCCCGGACTATTGATCTGAAGCCAGACATGAGTCTCAAGAGGGGGCACGGTCTTGCTGAGGTTCAGGGAGGGGGCCCCAGGCCCCATGGTACCTTCACGATTTCTTGGGCGATCTGCCTGGTTTTATTGACGTCCAAGACAATCTTGGCATCCCGCACCACCGAATAGAGGGTCCGTCCCTTACAGAGGCTGGAAAGCAAAAGGACAAGAGATATTATTGGCAGTTGTTACGACAAAGGCGACCCACACAGTTATTAGAAGTGACACGTAATAGGGTGGACTCATGGACATGCCCCTGTTAATCCTATGAGATTATAAACCTGGAAAGTGATCTCAGATCTGGTTCTGGGATGCGGGTCTGGAAGCAAGTTCTTCTGGGTCCCCCACCCCCCACCCCAGCATCCAAGGACACCTGCAGAGTCCTGCCACGTCCCATCTATCCCAGGGTCTCGGGACGGAAAGCTGTGCGTGAACCAATATATGGGGTCCTCAGGCACCACTCAGACAGCACTCTGCCGGCCACTCGTCCCAGCTGCTCCCACTCACCGGGAGCCGTGGTGTGTGGGGACAGTGATGAAAGGCCAGCAAAGCGGTAGCTGATGGATACTAATTACCGTCAGCAAATGATGCATTCGAGTCTTCACACAGAAGCGTGTAAACACCAATAACACTCCCCCCAAACCAGATGCCTGTCTAGAGAGAGGGCTTTTCAAACTATTTTCAGCCTCATTGAGTTCATTTCCAGGACCAGTGGTTTAAGATGAGTGACGAGATGAAAAGGGGCACTCTGCATGACAGGAACACCTTCTCATTTAGCTGCTGGCCTGCTCACCTGTCCTTCCCTCCCTCCCTCCCCGGGAAGTGAGCCCAGTTCCTGGCCACACACACCAGGCACTCAGTAAACAGTCACTGAGTGAGCAAGCGAGTACGTGAATGAATGAATGAATGAATGAGTTCTAGATTCACCAGAGCATCCCCAGCCCCTGGCACCATGTGCGGCTCAGAGTATCCAATGTTGGCTGAAAGAAGCTGAAATGACATTGGGAAAGTTCATTTTCCATCTACTTCAAAATAAGGGCTTGCCCCGGCTGGTTTGCTCAGTGGTTAGAGCACGGGCCTGTTGCATGGTCCCGGGTTGGATTCTGGTCAAGGGCACATACCTCGGTTGCAGGCTCAGCCCTCGTCGGGGCATGTTTGGGAGGCAACCAATCGACATCTCTCACATCTAAGTTTCTCTCTCTCTCTCTCTCTCTCTCTCCCCCTCCCCCCCTTCCTGCTCTCTAAAAAATCAACAGAAAAAATTTCCTTGGGTGAAGATTAACAAAAAGAAAAATAAGGGCTTGCATTTTTAATTCATTTATGACGTTGCTGCTGGATACCACAGTCGTGCTGTTCTTTCCTTTCGTATTTACTGAGCCCTTGCCGTGTGCCAGCCTCAGCTGAGAGCGTGTGGTTGAAGTCAGAGCCCTGGGATCGGAGGGTTTCGGTCCGGATCCCAGCTCTCGCCCTTCCTGTGTGTCTCTGTGTGGGTTCCTTAACCTCTCTGGCCCTCGGTTTCCTCAGCTATTAAAGGGAACTAATGACACCTACCTCGCAGAGTCAGCCGGGCGACAGAGTGAGAAACGGAGCTCGGTGCCATGCCTGGCACCTGGTGGGCAGTGTGGCGCAGTGGTTAGGAGAGCAGAGGCCTAGAGCTGGACTGCATGGGTTAGGATGTGGCTTGTCAGCTACAGGCGGCGTGGCCCCGGGCGGGTGAGCTAACCCCTCTCTGAGCCTCTGTTCTGTTGTTAGTAAAATGCAGTCAATAGTTCCTGCTTTCTAAGGTTCTTAAGAGAATTACATGAAATCGGGTATGTAAGGTGTAGGCATCTCTTAGGAAATGCTGGCTACTAGGAGAGGCAGTAAGAGATCAACACGCACTTGTGCAAATGTATATGAATTATATATTTATACACATATCACAGCTATTATCTGTCCATCCAGTTGCCCGCCCAAAATGCTAGCCCATGGTCTCTAAGACTCGCTTCCTTAGCTGCTTGAGGTGAGATTCCCAGGGTCGCTGACTCACAGGGAGTCTGATTCACCTGTCCCGGTTGCCCTGATGACTCAAGGCTATCCCTCGCTGGTGGCGCGGGTGACGCAGGCAGAGTGTTTGCTGTGACTGCTGGAGGGGAGAGCTGCAGGCGGGGTGGGCTGCTCGGCCAATTAACCACATTGGCATTTCAATGTCCCAATGGCAGGGGGACCGTGGGCGGGTTCCCTCCCCGGGATACTTCGTTCCTGAACAGCCACCTACACTCATTACAGGCCAGAGCCAAGAAAATACCGTCCCCACCGCGGATGGCAGAGCCAGCGATCACAACGGGCTCCAGGCTCCCAGGCCCTCCTGCCCAGGGAAAGCACGCACCGGTCGCAGGCTTCAAATCCCCATTTCCATTCCCTGCGGACACCCTCCTTTCCAGCAGCAACCGCGAAAGTCTTTGCTTCTCTCGCTGCCCTATGGCGCCTGGAGCCACGGGACAAGCTAACGTTGACCGGCAGGGTACAATGGGACACCCGCAGCTTGGCGCATCTACTATATGAAATATTCAAACAACCCACGGCTGGCAGTTTCTCCCCTAACTAAGCACACACCCAACAAGCACGCTACTCATATTCACCCACAGACATGTACTAGAATGTGCTAGAACGTTCCAGAATGTTAACAGCAACCTATTCGAGATAGCCCCAAACTGGAACCAACGCACATGTTCATCAGCTGAAAAACTGATAAATTCTGATCTATCCATATAACAAAAAAATACTATATTCATACTGTATAATAAACCACTGCTAATGCGAAAAAACGTGAATGAAGTTCATAAACATGTTGAGCAGAAGAAGCCAGACACCCAAGACTCACACTGAGTTTATACATAAAATAAATGGTGCGTCATCTAACCGATGGCATCTTAGGCTGAATGAAGTCTGGGATCGCCCCCATTTTACAGATAAAGAAACCGGGGCTCAGAGCAGTGGCGCTGAGCTGGTATTCGAACCCAGGCAGCCTGGCTCCAGAGCTTAGGCTCTGAACACCCGTCGCTGCTTCTTAACTTTCTCTGAGACCCAGGCAGGTCACAGGCCCTCCGTAAATGGAAACTGTAATGTTGCTACGATCAACACCTATGGCGAGGAAGATTAATGAGGCCTGCCGGCCTCGGTACAGGGTCCGGCTGGAGGTCAGGAGAAGGTGTTCTAGTGACTCAAGGATATATTTAGCAGCTCTCTAACTTCTGGAGCAGGGGCCATGTGCATGCACACACAGGCACACATATATACACACATATGCACACACATGCACACATATGCACACACATGCATGCACATGAACGCACATACACACACACCCTCCTTCCATCCCAGTATCTCTCTCTGCAACAAAGTTCATTTTTCCAAGAAGAGGAACAAGGACTGGAAACGTCTTATCTCGCCTACAGGCCACCATCTCTCCCAGCCCTGGCCCCAGGCAGCTCGAATAAGGCTGCCTTTCGAACCCACATCCCAGCCGCAGGCCACCTCGAACTTCCCAGTCGTTCATGAATCTAACACGGAAGATAGTAAACCTCGGGCCTCTGGGGCTCTGTAATGAAAAGTGCCAGGTTAGCTTCCTATACAAATAGGAAGTGCCAGGAAGCCAGGGAGAAGTGCCAGCTGTCTGCCACCTGCTTAACCCGACGTGCGTCCAGCAAATGAAGAGTTACAGAGCTCCATCAAGGAAAGGGGCTGGCGGGGGAAGGCTCCTGTCCCAGGCGGACCAGAAAGACGACAGCAGCCCACCAGGCATAGGAATATGCGAAGCAGGAGCCAGCCTCCCGGGAGAGCGAGGCTAAGGCACCCCCCTGCCCTCCTCCAGCTTTTGATGTCGCTGCAAAGCTCTGAGAAGTGTGGGGGGGAGGGGAGCTTAGACTCTTGGTCTTACTGGATTCTTCTTTCCAAGTGCAGAGACCTAGGGTTGGCTGCTCTGGGCACTTTATGGGCTGAGGTGGGGGTTCTTCCCAGTAGGGGGCGCTCCTGCCACTGACTGTGACCCATGCATCTGGGCATCTGGTGACATTCTGCCCTCGCTGGTCTGGGCTTTGCAAGGGAGGGAGTGTCCCAAGGGCACAAGCAGCCGTTGGCGAGGGGAGGTGTCGCCCAGAGGGAAGCAGGGCAGGCTGGAGAGGGCCGGGTCACCCGAGAGGGTCTGCAAGTCCGGCGGGCAGCACACAGCTGGCCAGGCCCAGGCAGGGGCTCAGGTGATGTCCCTGCGATGAGAGAATGGATGGACGGAGGAATGGCGACTCCTCGCGCCTTCCTTCTTCCCACTGTCCACTGCAGCTGGAAGAGCTGCGTTTGTGACAAGGCCGGTCTTCCCCCGACGGGTTAGCGCACCAAACTGCACGGTAGCGAGGAACCTTCCAGACGTTTCCCTACTTCAGACACACGTGCCATCAAAAAACCAAGCAGACCACAGGCCCTGCCCTCCGGGGCTGGATATTGAAACCCATCAATTCTTGTTGCTCCCTGACCAGAACCACATTTTTTTAAATAAAAGCTCAACAGCGAACTGAATTACTGTCTTTAAAAATATATACATACCACCTAATTTATATGCATTAAAAATCCACAGAGAGGATGGGCTCAGGGTGTTAGTGGAACGATCTCTGGGTAGTGGGATTAGGAGCTTTGCAGGTGTTTTTTTTCCTCGCTGCTTATCTCTCTTTTCTAATTTTTCTCCCATAAACACCTCTTACTTTTGCAAAATGAGAAAAAAGAGAGGAAAAACAGCACCTCTGAGTCAGACTGAAATGAAACCAGACCCACATGTTTACGCTACAGACAGTTTGGCAAATACTGAACGGGCGGTGGGCTGAAATGGGCAGGTGCAGTCTGCACCGAGTCCCTACCCGAGCAGCGCGGACTTGCCCGGAGGCTCTCGGGCGCCCCTCTGAGGGCAGGAAGCGAGTTCATGGGGTCTAGCAGGTTCTGGGCACACGGCAAGTGACCCATGTTGCTCAAAAGCAACCCTCTCCCTGGACAAGGTCAATCGCTATTGAGAGGGACAGCTTACTATTGACTTTTTAAAGTAACTGTGTGGCTGGTAAGAGAAGGGGCAGACAGATCGGCGGTGCACATAACCCCAAGTGGCTGTGTCCTTTCCTCCCATGGGA